AGCTTAAGTATCACCTAAGGATCATAACCCAAACTTAAATTCAAGGAATAATTAACTAACAAGAGAACTCACCTAAGCAAGCTTGAGTTCACGGCTGGAAAAAGGAAGAAGAATTCTCTAGAGTTTGATATTTTTCCTTTCTTCAATCCACGTGGAACCATATATATCCTCTTTCAAATAATTATCTTTTCTACTAAATGACCATTCTGCCATTTCATTCCTCCTTCTTTTTTATCTAGTCTATACAAAAGTTACAATATAAGTCCCTGAACTATTCAATTTATCTACTTTGACCAACAAATTCTGAAAATTTTCAATTTAGTCACAACCTGGTATTAAGGATGTTACAACTACGGTGCATTATTAGGTGAGCAAGGCTCGACCTCAGCACTACGGTGCAATATTTGACTCTTATATCGGGGTCCTCATAAATTTATACTTTGGGCTATAGTTTATTGGTTAATAAATGGTAAAAATGCAAATATAACTTACGAGCTTGTGAAATGGATGGCAAGTATATTGGTAAGAAACTTGATATCATGTTAATATATGGTAACATGGTTGGAACACAGGTAAAGTGATCATATTGCATTGAATATGGTTATTCATTTAAATTTATGTGTTGCATTGCTTTAAATATTCATATGATTGCTCACTAAGTGTATATTTAGCGTGTGATGATTTTCACGCGTATGAAAAAGGAGGAAAATGAGTAAGTAGTTGAGCTTGGCATTAATCACTAAGGAAATATTTACAGGTAACAATGATGACATCATACCGTGTTCTAAAAGTTTTAGTGCATTTATACGAGAAACAAATGTCCGTAATTTCTTAATATAGTTAGTATTAAATATAATTAATAGTATGAATAAATATTATGATATTAAACTATGATTAAAAAATTAATTTGGGTTTTAAATCAAACATGTTAGACAATTTTATTTAATTATGAAACAGAACAGAATTGTCTATCACTACTTGAAATTGGTTTTTAATTGGTAACCAAAAATATTATATTACAATTTTTCTCTGAATAATTATTTTATAATAATTGTTCAAGTTATGAAACTGGTGATGTTTGAATGAAACAAAATTTTACTCAGTTCAATTAAAAAAATGTTTTGAATTTCTGATGTAACATCTGTAACTCGTATTGGTTCGCGTATACGGGTTATGAGTGTTACAACCCATCCCCTCAGTATCGATACTCCCTACTAAAATTGCCTAGATTTCATCCCAATTCATCCAGTATCGATATTGTTAATTCAATATCGAAACTCGAACCTAGAAATGTCTTATTTAAGTTTGGAAAACACCCAAAAGTCATCCAAATATCTTAGTTTGGTTCCTAGTCATGTGCTAAAGCTCTAGGGAGTTACTTAGGGTTATAAAGTTGCATAAAAGCATCTTTTTTACACCTAAAATGTGATTTAGTCATGAATTCAAAGATAAACCCTAAAATGCTCAAATATCCAATCTTAGCAAATTGTTTAACATTTATGAAAACTTAAACACTCCAAAAGATTAGAAATACACTACCTTGATGTTAGGATCCTGAAATAAAGCTCCTTGCTTAGGCACACACCCTTCCTCTATGATTTGGATGAAAACTCTCACTTTTCTTTAGCTAGGAAATAACCCAAGACTTGAATCATTAAAATGGTGTTGATGGTGGGTTTATGAACGAAATTGAAGTATGAAAATGGGTGAAAGATCATAACTTTGTGCTAAGGTTCTTGGGAGGAAGAATGAAGAAGAAATGGTGGAGAAATGAAGAGAAATGGAGATAAAGAGAAAAAAGTCTCTATCTTTTAGAAATGGGATAATTACACTTTTGGTCATCCCAAATGTTTTCACTATTCAAAAATCTTCTTTTTATGGATAATTGGGCCCAACCTAACCCAATTAAGCCCAACGATTTAAATTTATAATTTTCACGGGGTCCACTTACTTCTTGGGTAAACCCAAAACTACTAGTTCAAAATTTAGGTATTACAGTTTCTACAAAAACTCAACATCAATAGAGAAAAATAATAATAAAACCAGAGTTGAAACAAATTATTGTTCATAATGAATATGAATATAACCAAATTCGAAAAAAAACTTAAATCAGAACTGAAACTGGAACTACAATCCAATTGGAGAAGATAACAACTAAAGATAGCAAATTAAGTGGAAATAGAACAAGAATGATACCTTCTTTTTGTTTTTAGTGTCAGGAACCGCAATGCTCTTACTATTTGAATCCCGGCTTTATACTCTGTTCGGTGACAACGCAAAGAGAAAAAATCTTTAGATTTGTGCGACAGAGAATATAATAGCAGAAGCGAAGAGAAAATAGAAGAGAAGAGTCAAAGAGAAGATACATGAGAGAGATTTGTGCGACGGAGAATAGAAGAGAAGAGGGCGAAAAGATTATCGACAGAGAATGTTCAAAATTGTAAATTAATGATTTGATAATATATGAATACTGTCACAGATTTTGTGAAACAAATGCCACAATATTACATATTTAGCGCGACGTTTATGCAAAAACGCCACAACATAACAATTTATTACAACATTTAAGGAAAAAACACCACTACAAGCACTTGAATATTGTGGTGTATACGAGTAAACACAACTATTTGTATATTTTTATGGCGTTTATCACCAAAACACCACTAAATTTATACAGTTTGCGGCATTTGTTCTAAAAATGCCACTAAAAATGTAATATATGCTTGGTGTAGTGTGTATTTTTAAAGGTACCCAACTTTTTGGGTGTTCTGGGGTGCTCTAACCCAATTTAAAGGTATTTGGTCGTAAGTAGCCCAAAACGATCGATGATGATTCATGTTTTCAAAAACATTTTATCCTTGCCATGACTATTTTCGAACCACCTAAAATTGGTTTCGACAAATATAGTTATGTATTTATTTTTAGTTATCAAAATATTGAGAATTGTTATTTTTTATTTTATTCATGTTACATGTATGAGTTGTACAACAAAACATCATATCAAATTGTTTGACAAAAATAATAAAAACATAAAAATATGATAGAAAACCTTTTTTTTAAATTAATCTTAAAAATAGACATAATAAAGCTTGAATCAAATATATACATAATAAATAATCAAAATAAAATAAAATTTTAATATATTTTTTACTTTTTATTTTATATGCATCATATTATTTTATAATAAGTATTAAAAGGTCTAAATCCATTAAAAATAAAATAGATTTATACAAGTGTAATTATATAAAAAAGGAATTATTATTTTGAAATAAATATATTACTTCAGGATATTATTATCTTAAGGAGAATAAATTGTTTCATACCTAAGGAGGAGGGAATGACAATCAAGGAAAAAGGAAAAAAATTACTATTATAGAGAATAATTCAATACCCAAAAGATAATGCTCTTAAACTATATATATATATATATGTGTGTTTAAATTATCGAAATTTGGTCTTATCATAAATCTTTAAAATAAAAGTTCATCTCACATACGAGATATCATGATTAATTTAAAGTGGGTAAAATCCACGAGATAATGCTCTCAATTTTTTTTCATGAAATAATGCTCTCTCCAGATTAATTGTTGAGATAGGGTGATCTCTATATTCCCATGCAGGTCGCCAGGTGCTCCGGGCGTGCATGGCGACCTTGTAGGTCGCTGGGCGTGTATGGCGACCTACCCCGACGTGCATGGCACATGCAAAGAACCACAGCTCGCATGGATGCCCTGGCGACCTCCTTCGTCACTCGGAGTACGTGGCGACGTACGTGATTACTGTAGAATTCACCATATCTCAACAATTAAACTCACCAACATATAAGTGTCAAAAATATTTAATATTAAAATTATTAATTAATTAATTAATTAATAATAATATAATGATTATATATAAATATATATTTGGTTATTATCTTACCTTAAAAAGAAAAATAATATTTATATAAATCTTTAGATCATACACTTTCATTAAAATATAAATTAAACGATATTAGAAAGGACTAAATTAATAAAATCAAAAACCAAAGAATCAAATAGGAAATAATCAATTTTTAAAGGCATGCTAGATGTGAATAAATGAATCAAGCAAACTTAAGTAGGGGTGTTCAAAATTCGGTTTTAACCGAATTAACCGACCGAATCGAATTAGTTCGATTAATTCGGTCGGTCATCGAATTAGTTCGGTCGGAGAACGGTTAATGATTTTTTTGTAATTCGGTTAACGGTTAATTCAGTTTAAAATCGGTTAATTAACCGAATTAACATTTAAATATAATTATATTAAAAGACTCATCCGGCCCAATCCATTTAAAACCCAAATCAATATTAACTAATTAAATTGACAGATACAATATCTTATTTTAATATAATGTTTTAATCAAATTAATTGTAACCTATTTTTTTAATTAAAAATATTAAATTCAAAAATTTTAAAAATTTTGATAAATTCGAAAATTAACCGAATTAACCGAAATTTATTCGGTTCGGTTAATACTTTAAAAAAAAGTTTGGTTCGATTAACGGTTAAAGAAGAAAAAATTCGATTAATTCGATTAAGGGTATTTCGGTTCAGTCGTCATCGTTTCAACCGAATGAACACCCCTAAACTTAAGGTTAAACCTAACCATGATATTTTGATCATGAATGATTCATAAATTTTAAAGTTATTATTATCAAACCGAATTTTTTATTTAATAAATAATTAATTTTGCTTTACAATAATATAAAAATTATTTATATCTCAAATATTAAAAATAATATAAATAGTTATATGAGAAATATTAATCATTTTATTACTTAAAACTAATATTTTAAAAAATATTAAAATACTTTAAAATATTATGAAATAATATAAAACTCCATAAAACAAAACAACTCTTTCAAATTTGAAATTAATATAAAAAATCATAAACCTAATCAAATTAAAATAAGGCGTGCAAGATAAGTAAGTTAACCGAAAAATATATAAAAATATAAATAAAAAATAGAACATACTCTTGCGGATCTTTGAACAATTTCCCCTGTTTCTCTCTCTCTCTCTCTCTCTCTCTCTGCCCTGAATTTTCTGAGTTTCTTTGCCTTATAATTTTCTCTTTAAACAAACATGAGCGTCACCCAATTCGCCATGGTAAGATTCTTCCTCTCAAACCGTCTTAGTGTTTTTATTATTTTTTGGGAATAATGTGTAAGTAGTTGAGGCAGTCTTTTTTCCTCTTAATTTGAACCTAAATTCATCTGAAGCAGTTGATAATCACTTGTTTTTGCTTTCTGGGTAATTATCATTTACCAATAATTTTTATTTCCGGTGTTCAAAGCTGAAAATTCTGTCCATGTTTTCGTTGTTTGAAGTCAATGATTTACTGAATAACTGAACAAGTAAAATGATACATTTTTCTATCTCAGAAGTTAATTTTTGTTTTTCATCGATTTATGTCTGAATAGTTTAGGCTTGAAGTACTTGATAATCGCCCATTTTTGCTTCTGAGTAATTATAATTTACTACATCTTATTGATTTTTAGTGTTCAAAACTGAGAATTCTGTTATGTACTTATTATTTGAAGTCAATTATTTACTGAATAATTGAATGGGTAAAATGCTAACTATTGCTGCCTAAAAAGTTAATTTTTTTCATTGAATAATTGAATAATCATCCAACTTTGCTTTGTGGGTAATTGTCATTTACCCTTCATTTTTAATCTTTAGTGCTCGGAAACTGAAAATTCTGCTGCTCTTACTGAATAATTGAATGAATAAAATGGTAGATTTTGCTATCTCAAAAATGAATTCTTATACATACTATTTACTTTTTTGGTTGGGACTGGGGTGGGATGGGGTTTTCCAAAAGTAGATTTTTGGTGGACTAATATGACTAAGATGCAGGTGGAAGAATTGGCATTCCTAGTTAAGGACAATCTTCCTTGCAAACATCTAGTGTTGTCAATGGAAGAGGCTTTCATTAATTTCCTTCAAGATGATGCAAGGTAACTAAAGAACCCCACATCCCCATGCAAAAAATTCTTAGGAAGTTATTTTAATGAGCACGTCTGATTCAGTTATTATCATTATGAACAATAAAAATTTTGGATTGCAGCTCAGATGGGATCCTAGAGTTGGAACCTATGAATTCATACAATCGGCTTCTCCTGCATCGTCTTGCAGATATATTTGGGTACTTTTCTTTTTGCCTTTCTTTCTGAATGTATCCTCATTTGAACTGACTTTGGAGATGTAGGGTTTTCTTAATTAGCTTTTAGTACTATGTTTTACAAAATTGGCTAGATTTGCTCATGAATCAATTGGAGAAGGAGAAGATAGGCATTTGGTTTTGCAACGATGCCCAGAGACATCAGTGTATGTGATTTGTTTCCTTATTGTTCATTTTTGGTCATTTAGTTATTGTGGTGCTCATGACCCGGCAACTTGTCTTGCAGACCTTCCATTCTTGTTAGTGATATATTATGGCAGTGTGATGAGCCTCAGTCTCTTACAGTGTCTCGCCATATATTAACAAGAGAAGGAACTGCACCAGGTAAATTTCTTCCTGTTCACTTGTTTAATGCACTTTTAGGCTATTGGTTCATAAATCATGATCCGTCTATTGATGGAAGAACTGATTTGCAATTTTTAAGAAATAATAATAACATGTGTAGTTGAGAATATCTTTTTCTTTCCTTTACACTTTTTACCATGGTTACTTATAGCTGATTAGAAAGCATGCCGTGCAAGATATTATGGATCTTTTTCAATTGGAATTATATCGAATGGGGATGGGGAAAATTGAATTTGAGGGTCACATGGTGAAAGAAAAAGTGAGAGAAAAAACCAAGTTTCGACTTCCTTTCTTTCAGTACGCATACCAATAATTTTTCTGACATTATGTACATTTGTTGTCATTGTGTGCTCCAAATGTAAAAGGGGTGGATTTTGAAGAGCATGTCTACCAAAGCAAAATGCAACTACCTCAATAAAATATCAGTTATTTCTTTCTCTTTTGTTTACAAAATCTGGTTCTCTCTGGGTTATCTGGAAGGCACTATTCATTTTATTTACTCGTTTGCTAGTTATAATGTTTTCCTTTCTCTTCTTTCTTTATTAGGAAGATAGTTCATCATGTTATATTGAAACACTGAAAAGAAAGAAAGCATTTATTGTTTTCTCTTCAAGTGCATGCTGTAGAATCCTTTTCCTAGCAGCTCATAGTAAAGAATCTGTACTTTTTTACTACATTCCTTTAGCCGGGTGGTGTGGAGTCTTTATTTTGGTTTTTCTTTCTCAAGGGAGCATTTCACATTAGATTCTGTTATGCTAAATCGTTTCACATTGGTTTTCAGATGGATGCTTAACAATATTACTTGAAACAGGCTGTATTTTCTGAATATTGTTAACTGTTTCAATATATTCGGGTTATACATTAATATCCTTTTTTTCTCTTCCTCTAAAATGTGTCTAGTTATCTTTTCCTTTAATGGGCGACCATTTATAGTTTTAACTAGTATGTTTATAGGATATTAATATTGCATCGTTATATGTACTTGTGTTGGTTGGTTTTTAAATTATGTAATCATTACAATCGTAATCTCTAGAAACTAAAGTAAGATGCTTTACTGCTAGCTTGTTTTTCTTTCGTTTTCTCCTTTTATTTATTATTATTGAAATTTTATCTGCATATGTTACTGATTTTCTCTAATATTGATTATCTAATATCATGGAGGTTTTGATTACCTGGACGATAAGCCCTGAAAGATTGCCTTTTCATTTTTCAGTAATGGAGACAAAGTTCCCTTCTTTTGAGCTTAGTCTTCAGGCAAGAGAAGCTGCTTACTTGGCTGCTCGTGAACGGATATTCACAATGGATATTGGAGAGATCAAGAACCTGTTAAGCATAAGCCACGAACTGTTCCTATTGTGGCTCGTCGAATGATTGCACATGCTTTGGGACAAAGAATTAACTCATGCAATCAAAGGATAAAGCCCGGGATTCTAAAGATCAATTGCAAACTAATGAACCAAGTATTCAAGATACGGATAAAGCTGAGAATGATTTGAGAACAAAAACTTGTCAAGAACTCTTCTTGAACAAGGGGAAAATGAGGATGCATGCAGTAAAGCAAATAACAATGCAGATGAACATATTAATTTGGTGGTTTGTGAGAAAAATGTTTTGGATGAAACAACTCAAAAAAAACCTACCAATGCTAGCATACCAGGTAGAACTCGAAGTAGAGTAAACAAAGAGTTCTCGAAAGAACATCTAGGAGCTGCAAAGCGAATGTTTGCCAATGCTTTAGGTCTGCACTCGGCTAAGGATTCGAGAGGTGGTGAAAGGAAGACAATACAGTAGACAAGGAGCTATTATGGTTTTTTCCTCTAACCCACTACCAGTCTAACGATAGAGCTCCATGGACTGTTACTTCTGACGGAAAGGACAAGTAAAGTGAGTTTAGCTCGACTATTGTTTGCTTGAATGTTCCCTAATTGCATTTAACAGCATTTCCATCTTCTATGTTACGTAAACTGGTTTGCATCTGGCTTGAGTTATGAGCTCTGGTTTTCGTGGAACGGAAGACACATCTAAGCTGTGCAGGGAGTAACACATGCAGGTGCAGAAGGGTCCAACTCTCCCCCACGTAAGATGTCTGAATCTGTAGTAAATTATGATTATTGCTTGACAGATACTGTGAAAAATGGTTGTAGGAAACCATGTTTTAGATAGGAAATGATTTGAATCATGGAGTAGATAGGACAATCCAAAGCGTGTCATGTTTAGGTTATCTTTATGTTCGTGTCATTTCGTGTTTTATACATGTTATTGAACCCTATGATTTGGAAACGATTGATTTGATCAATTTTTTTTTCATTCATACATATTTTTACTGATTTAGATTGATTATAAGATAGAATTTGTTTGAAAGACTCGTAATCAGTTGACAACGAAGGTAATGTCCTACTCAAGTTCAAGACTTAAAAACCATTTCTTTCTTTAATCATTAAGGTTGTTTAGTTTGTGCCTTTTTATAAACTAAACAATCCTCGCAGCACTAGTGTATCCAGCCTGACATCCCAATTTAAGAAAAAGGTATTTATAAATTTAATATCAAAATATCAAAAATTAAAATAAATATATAAGAATATTATTATCTTTAAACATATCCATATTCATTTTCATATACTTAAAAGAATCTTAATTTCTTTTTCAAAATTTGACACCGTGTACTCATGACATATTGATTAAAAAATGTCACATTTAATAAACACAAAATGTCATCATAACATAATGATACAAAAACATTACACTGTTAGACGAAATCAAAAGTATGATAATGAAAAATAAGAGTTGATTATGAAAGTGATTAACCCTCTTGCATTCTCCGAGTTCATGATATACACTATCTTACAACACAAACCCTGTCACACTGTACTCGTGTTTACAATGAGCATCGAGTTCCATCCCAAAATCAGTATACAACTTATACAAAAGGCGTTGTCCGCCAGCGTCTGCTGTAAGGTCAGTTGACCCGGAAGAGGAGCGGAATATAAAGAACTAAAGATGTACAGTTCATCCGTAAAATACGGCTTCTTTGTACAAAAATGATTGAAGGATAAGAAAAAGAATTATAGATGCTGAAATCCGAACCGGAAACAGTTGAATGTTGCTGCTTCCGAAGGGTGATTGCATGAAACGAATGGAATTAACTGAAGCACCCCTTTTACTTTGATACAAAAATGTCTGAAAAAGAATTGGACATACTCAGCAGTATCACGTTTGCCTTTCTGTTCCCGGAGATGGAGTCTTGGCAGTCAAATCACGAAGTAACGACTGTGTGGCCATGAACTCCTCTCTCAGCATGACATTGTAGTCGTACAAACGTTGGAAATTCTTCTGTATATCAGACAACTCGATCTCTGAACCAGACTTCAATTCTGCATTAAGAAGATGGATTAGCAGCTTTAACGTAAAATATGTCGGTAATTAAAATCTCTACAGAATATTTTGAAGAAATTAATGCATGCACTTTCAGTTCATCACACTGAAAAGTCTATGTTAAGTAGGCGGTTCCAAAACAGACCTGTCAGGTCATTTCCGAACTGACTCTTCAGTTTTACTTGAAGTACTGGCCTATGACAAAACCAAAAAGTTTAAGTCTGTGTATGACTTAAACATATTTAATTGCTACTCTTATCACCAAAAAGTTTTAATGCTAATTAATTAAACTGAAACGATGGTTTAGAAGATATGGAGACAAGGAAAACAGTTAACTCGAATTGTGTCTTTCAGTCCAACATGTGATGATAATTCATATAGCCCAGTTCATACCTAGTCGCGGTGGTGGGGGAATATATCGCCACCAACAGGTAATGCTTGATGCCGGACAGCAACTCCATCATTCGAACTGATGCAGTGTTTTATCGTGTCCTTAGCAGATCCAGATATATCACATTTAAGGGCCTGCATATAACGTACATGGAAAGCTTCATATATATCAACTCTTTAAGACACCAAAGGCTCAAACCCACATGACAATACTTCCAGCATAGACGACTAAGAAATTTGTTTGGCCTTTCATGTTATACATGTACTATTAGTACACCGGTTCAGACAGTCGATGCAGTGTTAGGCGAAACAATTCACATGGCCGATTACAAATAATAACAATTTTAGGTAAAACTGAATAACTTGGCCATTAAAACAGAGACAGTACTAATTATAGGTAAGTTGTGTTTAATTAAGCCTTCTTTAAGTGAGTCGAGTACGGAAATTCGGGTTAAAAAGCAAGTCTTTTCCGACCAAAACTTAATTTAACAAGAGAAGGTGAAATTAGGTTGACATTGGAAAAGAGATTGATAGAATACCTTTTCACTGCTGACTTGCTTGCGAAAACTTAGGTCAGTATTACTTAGCTGCCTTCGCTTCCTCGATGACACACTTCCACGAACTGATCCATTAGCATGGACCGACGGAAGCATGAAATGACCACAACCAGGTTCTGTTTTAGAGTGGTCGTCAACATCCAATGTTCTGCAATTCCACGTGTACATGACGTACTTTCTCACCTGGTTAAGAAAAGCACATCAACTCAACTATACTAAAGGACTAAATCAGAGAGAAATACTTGAATTGACTTAATAAGCATAGGCTATATGTTGTTCAGAGAAAGAAATTACTTTATCCCAGTGTTCTTGAGCTTTTCTTCTACTTCTGATATTCCGTAAAATGCTATCTTCATTGCGGAGCCGTTTTATTCTGAACTCACACTGCAAAGTGCAAACCAAGCAGGTCATATAGGAATGTTGAATGCATTATACATAGGATTCATTTTTCTTTTTTCAACCTAAAAAAGAAAGATAAAATACCAAAAACTTCTGGTAAATTTAACAACCTAAACATTGTTTTTACCATTGGCGAAACTGTAACAAAACAAATATTCATGCACTTTCAATTTTCTAAAATAGACAAGCTCCACATTTTCAAAACAAAACCGAGATCCCTTTTCGATGTGTAAAACCTGCTTAGAAATAGGGAAGGGAACTTAGAACAATTACTTGAGAAAGAAGTAACAGTCTTTTCTTTTTATTTCGTCATGATGTTCAATACTGAATATAAACATCTTTCTCTTCATCCGAAAGAAGGGTAAAAATAAACCTTAACAACGTCAGTTACTGATAGTGAAAGGTCCTCGATCATCGTCTTGAATCTTTATAATGTATCTAGAAAATCAAGGGAGAAAGAACTAAATGATAAACTCACAAGGAACACAACTTACTTGCACCAAAAGATAGAAAAATAGCATCATACTAATGCAATATAGCCCACCAAGATCTGCGAGGAAGCCCACTGCAAGTTGAACAAAACAATATTGCATTAATATGTACAAGTAGAGACTCGTACCAACACACCAAATATCAAAAGTGAAGTTGTCTAAGCATGGTGAGAAATCATAACATAGAATACGAGGACAATAATCAATGTAGCAGATAATAAAAAATACCAGACCGAATCACATATACACAAGCAAAGCAAATTACTCACCGGCACCGACTATATTTTGATTTTCAGACTCAATGATGTAAGAAGAAAGATAATTGACATATAATGTAGTGTTGATTAGTCCATTATTAGCATTCTCGAGTGAGGCCTGGAGCTGAGAGGACTCCCGCAAAATCGACCCCGGACGAATTCATGAAACAGGGGTTGAATTAGCCTCAGATCTTTTGCACTGCGGTATAGACGGGGAAATAAATTGAATATCAATATGTTTGTGTCCGCCCCTCTGAAAGTAACAGGGCTATTGTCAGAGTTGCTTCCATTCTTCATTGTGCCACTAACAAAACTCACATGATCACTCCTGATATGATCTTGCGAAGTTACATTGAACTGAAAACCTACGGCACTTGCAGGGCTGTTCGGGAGATCGACAAACTGCCATGAAACAGACAAAAAATCTTGATGGAGTCGGCAATTGCTGCACTTGAGAGTTATGGTTGGCCCCAAACTTGTATTGTGACATGAAAAGTTGAGAAAATCCGAAATAGGGGAAACTTTGTCTTGAATGAAGCCGGAACTTCCGGTGAGTAAAGTAGTAGGATGCCGCAAATTCGAGCAGCTCATACTAGAAACAGTGGTCATGTTAAATTCCATGTCATTCCTGAACAGAGCTAGGTCAGGTTCATTTGTCGCTCTCACGTTATGCACTTCAATTGTTCTCTTTGCGATGATCTGGTAAAGCAACCTAATATAAATCATGGAAAGGATGGGACAAACAAATCAAAGTATATTCATATATCGAAAGGGTTCTAAGAAAACATTCATGAGAATTTGAAAATCAAATGCTTGCGTCGAGAACATTATCCTCACTCACGCAGCAAACAGTCCAGTGAAAAGTATCCAGCTGGCGATCGAGAAAGTTCCACCAAGTTCCGTTTTCCGCTTCACAACCAACTTCTGGTCATCCTATATAAATGAATTAAACAAGTCAAAGCATTTGCAAGTTTATGCATCATGAAAGTACAGAAAAAAAACCATCCGTTATGAGAAAACATGTACTTTTCTTCTAGTTTCTGAAATCATAATCATTCCTTGGACATGAATTTCAAATTTGTCAATGATACACCCAATTCCAAAGTATGCAAAAGTTAATTACGTCGACAATACACATTAACGAGGGCTTGCTAATTAGCTAAGGAAAACCAATCCCGGCATCACCCCAATTTTCAAGACAATCAAAATCTCAACCAACTTAGTCACTTGAGCATGCTGCATAGTATACACGAATGTTGCTTCATCAACCCTAAATTTTTGTTGAAAGACCCATATCCAGCACATATTTGTATACATGAAAACACATTCACAAAATCGAATATGCACATGTATAACACATGCTTGT